CAGGGTTATCGAGTGGGGAGTGCTAGTGGGGATGATGGCTGCTTTATACGCAGCGATGGGAAGTGTTCATCACATGACAGGTGAGCAGAAACCCTGTGTGGCCTGAGCGAAATGAAGGAGAAAAGGAGGTGGCAGAGGGGGTGGAAGAGATCAAGCAGGGTCTTCTAGACCATGGTAAGGATTGGGGATTTTATTTTGAGAGAGAGGACAACTGTTGGGGAGTTTCGGGCACAGGATGTCATAATAAGACTGATGATTCAGGAGGATCACTCTGGCTTTTGTATAGAGAAAAGATTGTGGAGGTGGCAGGGACTGCCACCTAGACCCAGGAGTGTGAACACACACACACACGGAAGATTCTAGGAACTACATGTTGGGTCAGTGCTTAAGTGGAAAGACGGGTAGAGGAGGCTGGAGTTGGGAGGACCGCATTCAGGAATTTATGTGTCATATCTGTAGGGTACAAAAATTAGTGTTGGACAAACACAGGTCACTGTTGTAGCTTTGGTATAGTTTGTAATGGAGAAAAGTTATATAGTGTATCTGTCTACTAACCATTTGGCCTTTTGTGAAAGCATTTTGAATATACCAAAAATTTTTTTATTTTTCTGTTAAATTTGTTTGCAAGTCCTGAAAATGAGCTTACTGCAACATAGAGATTTTTTTTTTCCTAGCCTTGGTATTGGCTGTATCTGCCTTTTCCAAAAATGACATTAAGACATTAATTTTCTTACTAATTGTGCAGAAGAATGTACAACCTTATATTCCCATTAGACAGAAACTGGTTTGGACCCTAGACTGAAATGATACACATTCATTCAAGAAACAGTGTCTTCTAGGGGCCAGGAACTATGCAAGGATTTGGGTATTTGGTATAAAATAAAAGACAGTAGTCCTTTCTCTTATAAAGCTTATATCCTAGTGGGAGAGACAGTTATTAAATAGGTAGATATGTAAATTGTAAGTTTAGAAAAGTACTGTGGAGAAAATAATGAAGGATCCTATGAAGAAAATGAAAAAGATCCTATGATAGAGAAAAATCTAAGTTAGGGGAGTCCACTAAGAAAGGGTACTTAAGAAGTGTTCATAGTCTATTAGTATGTAAAATAGCTAATAGTTATTGAGTTTGTGTGTATTAGGTACTGTGTTAATCCCTTTGCATAAAACTATGCAGTTACTTAAAGATGGTGAAATTTAGACACTAAGTTGAAGTAACTAGCCCAAAGTGATTAAATATTAAGTAGTAAAATCAGGAGAGAGACCTAGTCTGTCTGGTTCTGGGGTCCATCCTTTTAACCACTACACTAAGCTACACTTGAAGAAGGCCTTTTTGAAGAGAGAACATTGAAACTGAAGGTTGAACGGTGTTCATGTTTTTGTCTTTGTTCAGGTATGATTCTTAGGTGGTCTTGTTTTGGTCTTGACATCATGGTCTCACAGTGACCTTATCTGTTGGTGTTTTTTGAGATTGTTAAAGTTCATGTGAGAACTCCAAGGTCTTGCTTTGTGTGCCAGGCCAGCTCCTGACACTCAGGGGCAGCTTTTCTCTTTCTCAGCGCTTACTGGGTGGGCGTTGTGTTAGATTTAACGTGGGTCCTGCCTCAGTAACTTACAGTTTCAGGGCGATGTGGACAAAGATAAGGAAGATGGGCAGTTGAGTGTGGTATGGGCAGTTTCAGTGTATGCACAGGGTGTGGAGGTGTCCCGGGGCAGGGGCACTGGCCCAGCTTAGAGTCAGCAGCCAGTTACTGAAGGCTTCTGGGAGAAGATAATGTTAGAACCACGTCCTCAAGGAGGCCTACAAGGTGTTGAAGCATATGTGTGGAGGATGGGCCTTCTAAGCTGAGGGGGAAGAAAATGCAAAGGCCTGGGAAGAAGAAAGCCTGGGGCAGCCAAGGAGCTGCAAGTAGGTGAGTCTGGCCAGAGCTGAAGTGTGTGTGTGAGTGGGCAAGCGGGTAGCGGTAGAGGGTAGGAGGGTTGGGAAGTGGAGAAAGAGATGAGGCTGCAGTGGTAAGATGGGTCCAGATTGTGAAGGAGCTGCGTGCCCGCACCGTCACAGTCAAGAACTGAGTTCATGACTCCTCATTGCTCTTCACAGAGCGAAGTGTTTCATAGGAGTTATAGAACTGAATCTTTACAATGGCGTTGAAAGACTTAAGGACTTCAGTTCCTTGAATAACTGGTGCATAATAAAGCCATCACCTTCTCTTCTCCCGGCAAGAATTTTTTGGAAACTAACGGAAGGATTCTAAGAGGAGTGTATTTAGATCACTCTTGCTTTAGTGTGGCCACTGTATTGGATGGAAAAAAGACAGGAGGGAGGAGACACAAGTTGGGACACTGTCACATTGATCTGTGGTGTGGGACACATTTTTAGGACAGGTACCTAGGTCACAACAGTTTCCTTTTTCCTGGAATCAGGGCCAGTATTATGTGACCTTGTTGCCCGTCCAGCCCTTTGACTGTGTTCCAGATTGGCACGGGACACAATCTGGGCGGAGTCCTTTACTGGGAGTTTTGGATTTGGGAACAAGGAATAGTGTGCTTTCTTTAACTTTACAAACCATCTGATTTGGGTTTAGAGAGTTGTTGGCAGCCGCGTTCCCGTTTGTGTAGAAGAAGTTGGTCTGTACTCGAAGTGGGCCAAGCCAGTAGGGAATGAGAATTCTGCTGGCATTCGAGGTTCAGTGGCCCTCACCTGTCCCATGGCGTGGTTTTGGGAAATAAACTAGTATCCTTAATTTTGTTTTTGGTTTTTCATAAACTAGTTTCAGTTTGTTTCTTGTACTTTAGGAGTCTTGATTAGTGTAGACGGTGAAGGCCTGAAACTAAGGCACTGTGAGTGGGGTTGGCTGATCTCAGACATTGGGAGGTAAATTGGACAGAAAATGGTGACTGTTGAGAGAACAGTAGATGCCTTGGTAGCGTGGATGTGAGGGTGGTGTTCCATGGTGGGGCAAGTTGAGCGAAGGCAGGTTTTGGAGAAGCATGGCAGGTAGGGGCAACTTGGAGCGGTTCAGCTTGGCCTGGCTGCGGATGGGGAGGGGCTTGTAGAAGAGAGAAGGGTGGCAGATAGAGCCAGAAGCTGATGCCTCACTGAGATGTTAGACTTGATCCTGCAAAAGGTGGGACAGATGCAGGTGCTGGATGTTGGTGGTGACCATTAATAAAAATCTCTCACTGGTTTCTGATGATGGAAGCATCACATTCTAGAAAATTAGGAAATAAAATTTCTAAAGAAAATAAAAATTACATTAATACCATTATCACTTGATCTGTTTCATTTCAGCATTTAAAAATGTGTATATTTTAAATAATTGAGACACTTTTTTCTTTTAATTAATCTTTTGTGATACTTAATATATCACAAGCATTTTTCTGTCCAGTTTTGGGAAACATTTTGATGCCTGTGTGCTATTCCACTGTGTGACTATATCATAATTTATATAATCCCTCAAGTTTTTTGTTCTTCCGAATAAAATTGTGTTAAATGTAACATCTTTGTCCATGTTTCTTGTGTTTTTAGCTATTGAGTGAAGTCACTGGATCAAATAATGTAACTTTTTTGAGGATTTAAAAAAACACAGTATTATTGAGGTACAGTTTACAGGTAAAATTCACCCTTTTTAGTGTTCGGTTTTGAATTTTGATGAGGGGACAGGCATGGGATTCCAATGACATACATTCCTGTTCAAGGAGGGGAAGAAGGGAAGGAAAAAAGGAGTCACCAGCCTCAAATTTTATTCTCTTAACAGAAAAAAGTTTTAAATTTTAATGATCTCCGATTTACCATTTTTTTTGAGAACTGTACTTGTAGTGTTACAGTGAAGAAATCTGCTTAATCCAAAATCATCTTATTTTTTTTCCTAGGAGTTTTGTACTTTTAGATACTACATTTAGGTCAGTTTTGGGTTATATATGTATTTGGTGCAAAGTATGAGTTGAGCTTTGTATGTTTATTTGGTTTGGATGTTCAGTTGAATAGAACAGATCTGATTACTACTGATTAGTTTTTTGGAACTTACATTCTTGTTGTGATAGGGGGACAGTAAACATGACACTCTGTATTTTGGATGTTGGTAAGCGGCAGGGCAAGGGGGTGGGAGTGCTGGGAGTGCTGTGGTGGGGTGTGTGTGTGTGTGTGGTTACCTGGTCAGTCACCAAGGCCAAACTAGAACATTTGCTTTTATCTTGAGGGCTTTGAGCAGGGGAGGATGTAATCTGACTTGGAACGGTTCAAGGTGTGGTTCTTCAGTCAGCAGCTGCTGCATCACCTGGGGACTTGTTAAAGGTACCGAGTCAGGGGCCGTACCTGGACCTACTTGTCAGCATCTCTGAGGGAAGGGCCCAGGCATCTGTGTTTTACAGGCTTTCTAGGTGATTCTGATGTATGTTATGCTTTAAGAAGCTCTGGTTCAGCTTATGTTTTCAAAAGGTCGCTGTGGTTGCCTTGTGGAGGATAGACGGTGGGAAACGCAAAATGGAGGCAGTTGGGATCTAGGTGAGAGGTCATAGTGGCTGGACCAGGGTGGTTGTGATGGAGCTGGTGAGTAGTAATCAGATGCGAAATCCATTTTATAGGTGGAACCAAAGGATTTGCTAATAGATGGCATGTGGTATAAGAAGATGAGCTAAGTCATGGATAATTCCAAGGTTTTGGCCTTGGAAGAATGGAGCTGTAGTGGCCATGTCAGCTACTGAGATGGAGAACTTAGCAGGAGGATCAGGGGAGCAGTTTCTTTTATTTGTGGGTGATGAGGAGGAGGAGGGCTTGGGGGATGGGTCTGGAGTTTGGGGTTTGAATGAGTTAAAAGTGAGATGAGTTTGGCTCTTGGGAAGAGAGGAGGGGGCATTCAGATAGCTGAGTTCTGGGGCTCTGTTTTCACTTCTGCCAGTAGGGCTGTATTGTACAAGTTTAAGTTTAAGAATGATAATATAGTTATTAGCAGCTTTTTTTCTAATCACAAATTATGTGTATTTTATCTAATCTGCTTTAACAGATATTGGAATAAAGAAGACTGTAGCTTTCTGTGAAGATGTCAGTTTTGATATCACAGAGTGTAATAAATTATGTGGAAGAAGAAAATATCCCTGCTTTGAAAGCTCTTCTTGAAAAATGCAAAGATGTAGATGAGAGAAATGAGGTGAGAGCAAGCTTCTAAAATTTAAATTCTTTTCACAAATATTTGTTGACTACCTACTGTAAGAAATGTGTGGTTCTTACCCTCCATAATATTGATACAATTTTTAAATAGTTAAAAGTACTTCAAATTGTGTATTTTTGGAATACATTTGAATTTACACAAATGATTGAATATTGAATTTTTGATTTATGATTTAGGTTTATGATTGAGACTTATGATTGGCTTTTTTTCCCCAAATAGAATAATCAATATTCAAGAAGCTTAATTATTAAAATCAAAAGTATTTCTAGGAAGCTTTAGAAGAGCTTCTAGACCCAATCTTTCTATAAATAGATTAACCAGACAAAATTAGGACTTTTTGAAATATTTTCTTTCTTGGGGACCCAGCTCTTTTCCTGAGTTGTTCATTCCACACACCTTGGGATGTTAAAGGCCCTTCATCTTTAGAGACAGTTAAATAAATCATGTGTTCTGCTTAATAAGACATGTAAGTATGTACTTACCATTTTCATTAACTTGTATCAGATATTTCTATTCAATAATATAAACGAGCAAAATGTTGATTATTTCCTCATGAACAACCAAGCTGCATCATTTTGGGGACTAATAAATTTTATGTATAAATTTTTTATGTGGCAAAGTAAGTATGTTTTATCAAACTTAAGAAAAATGATTCTTTTTCTTAGAACTGTGTTTTCAACACTAATTTTTTTTGCCAATGAGTAAAGTGAATAAGAAATGATTTCAGTTTTACACTAATGTGTGTATATGTGTGCACATGGATGTGCCTGTGTGTGCAGACATGCAGAGTTTTATTTATGATTTTTTTAAGTGGCTAAAGCACATAACATAAAATTTCCATCTTAACCATTTTTCATTGTACAGTTCAGTGATGTTCGGCAGTGTTAAGTAATCATTACTGTGATGTATCTCCAGAACTTTTTCAAATCTGAAACCCCATAACCATGAAACAGCTCCCTGTTTTCACCTCCCCCTGCCCCTGGTAACCACCATTACACTTTGTTTCTGTGAATTTGACTGCTCTAGGTACCTCAAGTAAGTGGAACCGTACAGTGTTTGTCTTCTAGTGACTGACTTACTTCATTTAGTATAATATCCTTGAGGTTCATCCATATTAGACAAGATTTCCTTCCTTATTAAAGCTGAATAACACTGCACTGCGTGTGTTTATCCATTCATCCACTGACAGGCATTTGGGGTGTTTCCTCCTCTTGGCTATCGCGAGTAGTGCTGCTATGAACATGGGCGTGCAAACACTGTAAATGTTTTTAAAGCTGCTAAATCAATAATTATTACTTTATTATTATTTTTTTGACATGGGGGTACCTAATTTAATTAAATGTTAACCGTCATTAATGAAATTGTGATATAAAAATTTTATTATTGCAATACAATTATGATA